CACCCGCCCCTCACCATCCGAGTGGACGGCAGCGGCCCAGCCCGAATGGAGCCCTCCAGCCCTCCAGGCTCCAACCCTCCGAGCCCTCCGATCCCTCCGAGCCCTCTTTGGGGGCAGTCACATACGCCGCGACTTCGTTTTCTTTACCTTTATGCGACCCCTCCCGAAGGGCCCTTCCGACCCCTCTCGAGCCCTCCCGCCACGAAGATCCTCCCTTGTCCGACCGTCCCTCCGAGCCCACCCGGCGTCCGAGGAGGGGGTTAGCCCTGTGGAGCCCGACGCCGATCCGACGGGGACCCCTCCAGCCCTATGGGCTGGCGAGCCCTCCGAGGGCCCAACTTGAGAATCGTGCTTTTTGGGTTAGGGACGAAGGCGAAGGACCGATTGCGGTGAAGGACCGCAGGTTAGGGACCGATCGCCGCCGCTCACGCCAGCGGACGGTCGTCGTCAGTGATGTTAGCTACGCCACCGTCTACCTCGTGCGACATGCGCTCGCCGGCATCGAGCGAGCAACGTGTTCGACCGACCGGCTTGCTGTGCGGACGGCTTCTTGTGGCTCTCGTCGAGAGCGTTTTGCGGCCCGGCGGGTGGGAGAACATGTGTCGTTTGATGTGTCACTGTGTACGTCATGTCAGTCTTGATAACAAGCACGGTCGATCCGTCAAAGCGATATACTCGTCACGTCACGCTGGACGGCTTGCACGGAGCTCTGTGACGGCACACATCAGGAAGACCGCCGTACGGCAAGAAGAGCTCGATGGGGAGCGAGAACCGTCAGAGGAGGTTCAGGGGTAACCTGAGTCCTCCGTGACGCGCTCAATCGCTCTCAAGCGGGTGGCTCTCGAAAATCCTCGATATCTTCCGAAAAGACTGCTCTTGCCCAGAGCAGCCGACGCGATGCAGACGGAGGCGCAGAAAGGCTACGAGTACTCAACGAGTTCCGCGACCTACGCAGTCAAACCTGGGGGGAACTGACCGCATCAAGGCGGACTTCCGACACCTCCGTGAGCACCTTTGGCGATTCTCGCTCCCCATCGAGCTCTTCTTGCCGTCGGCTCTTCCTGTGTGCCGGCACAGAGCTCCGTGCAAGCCGTTCAACGTGATCGTGACGAGTGTATCGCTTGACGGATCGACCGTACTTGTTATCAAGACTGATATGACGTACACAGTGACACATCAGACGACACATATTCTCCCACCCGCCGGGACGCAAAACGCTCTCGACGAGAGCCACAAGAAGCCGTCCACACAGCAAGCCGCTCCTCGGACAGGCGAGCTCGCTCGATGTCGGCGAGCGCATTGCGCACGCTTTGGACGGTGGCGAAGCCAAAAACACCGATGGTGGCCGTCCGCTGGCGTGAGTGGTGGCGATCGGTCCCTAACCTGTCGCTCGCGGTCCCTAACCCATCAGTAGTCCTTCGCGCTTTATTATTAGTCCCTAACCAAAAAGCACGATTCTCAAGTTGGGCCCTCCCTCCGGTCGGAGGCGGGAGGGGTGGAAGTGGGAGGGCTCGAAGACGGACCTCTCTCGCTCCGGGAGGGTGGAGGGGTGGAGGGTGGAGGGGTGGAGGGGTGGTTGAGCCCTCTAGCTCTCTCTGTCGATATAGCCCTACCCCTCCCTCCCGCCGTTTTATTTAGGGCCTACCCACACCCACAAGAAATCTCTCTCTCTCCCACCAGTGCATTTCCGAACGGCTTCGAGGGTTTTCCGGCTTGGATGAGTGAGAGAGGTAGGTAGGTAGAAAGGTGAAGAACAGCCAGGCTCGGACTGGACACCAACGCTGGTGGTGGACGACGCTGGACAGATGATGACGGCACGCACGAGCGACACACAGACACAAACAAGCTCACAAGACACACAGCCAGCGGGCTGCCACACACCCTGAGTCGGCTTACACATAACTCAAGGCCATATCCTCTGAGAGACTGACTAAGCACTGTTATGCATCCGAGCCGGAAGTTGGTCAAGACGACGGTCAAATCGCCTGGCGATCTGGCCCTCTTCTTACCTGCCTCCATTTTGCCCTTTTGATCGCGAGCTACTTTTACCAGAGTCTGCCGCATGCGGGTCGAGGAAGAAGACGAGGAGGTCTCGGGCATCACCGGATCAATGGTTCGTGCCCTTCCTTTCGCCCTGCCTTTCGCGAAATCGAGCGACGATCCGAATATCGCAAGCGGCTGTGGCGAGATCCAGAGCTCGCAGTCGATTCTGTCGCAGTGGCGCAGATCGACACATCCCATCAACCGCCCCAGCGGTATGGGGCATGGAGCCGACGCCGCCGAAGCTGCCGCCTTCACCACCGCCGCCTCCACCGCCGCCGCCTCCAACGCCTCCGCCTCCACCACTGCCAATGCCGCCGACGCCGCCCCGCGTCCGCAAGGGCGCGAGGGACTGAATGCGCGCGTGAGCACGACGCGATCGACCCTCTTCCGCATCGACAACAGCGGCATCGCGCGGGTGGACGAGGGGAGAGAGCCCAGCTGCCTTTACCGTCTCAGGCGCGGAGAGCTCCGGAGCCCAACCCGCCGCTCGCCCAGCATGCCACGCGCCTCTGACTGCATGCGCCGCCGGTACGGCCAGGCGGGCCGTCTTCCGGGGAGAAGACGAGCAGTCGCTCACGCTGCTCACCGTGCGGCGGGCGCCCGGGGGAGACGAGGCTTGCCCTGCCTCTCCCAGCAACGCCCCCCGACATAGTCGCGATGCTTCCTAGTGGCCTGTCTCAGAACGTGGAGATGCGGCTGAGCCTCGCCCCTAGTTTGCAGAGAACACCCCGCCCCCCGGAGCCGCAGGTGCCGCTGGGCCAGCTGCTGTGCACGCGACTACCGCCGCCCTTGCTTCCCGACGAGCCGCTGACGACTCCCGTGTACGTGCGCGCCGAGGGCTCGCTCGCGCCCGAGTCCGCCGCCGCACTCGATGCTATCTTCGCGCGGCTCGCAGTCCTCGCCCAGAGGAAGCGAGACGGCCCCAGCGAGCAGAGCGCCCGCGACACCGAATTGGCCAGGGCCGAGAGCATTTTTGTCGCCCCGACCCCAGTGGCTGAGCAGCAGCAGAAGAGAGGCGTTCGTGCAACCCTAGCCCCCCCCGAGGCTGAGCAGCAGCAGAGGCGTTAGCCTTTCTCCACAGAGCCGTAATTTCAAGTCGCACTCTACATGCATGTCCCACGAGTCACATTCTGATAAATGAAAATCTTCGCAAGACACAAGAGTCAAGACTGAGACTGACAAGACTCGCGCCGCGATCCTGAATTCCGGCAATCGGCGATCGCTCAAGGCGCACACTCTGATGAAACTGATCCCTCTCCCCTCGTGTGCGCCCGGCGTATGGCAAACAATTATCCCACATTTCCACCTACAGCTCGTCGTGTGCATGTAAGGCCACCTCGTCCCCTCCAAGGAACGCCCCGCCCCCGTCCACGACCACCATCTCGAGAGGCTTGAAGGCCTTGGACTCGACCAGCGCGTCGCTCGACGCGAGGTCAAAGTGGTGGAGCGAGAATGGCACGCTGAAGGTCAAGACACCGAGGACCTCCCCGCTCGGAATCATGAATGGCGGGCTGAAACAGCCCCACCCTATCCTTCGGCCGCCCGAAAAGGCGGAGATCTGCGTCTGCTTGCTTGTCGTGTAGCTCGATCGCGGCCTCACAAGCGCCCTCTCACCAGCCGCCGGCCCGTTGAAGGCCAGCTGCAGGGAGCGCACGTGGTCAAGCTGAGCAAAGATACGCACTTGACGCTCTCGGTCACGACCGGAAAGCACCACGAACCCAGGACCGTTGCCCGTCGCAAAGGAGACGCGCGTGGCCGAGGCGCTGGCACCCACCTCCACCCACGTGCTCTCTGGCCGGTCATAGGCAATTTCGATCACGCCCTGCGCCGATCCGGCTGCAAAGGTGACGGTGCAGAGGCGTCCCGATGCGGGCAACCCAGCCGGTGAGATGCGCAGGATGCTGACCACGGGTGGTGAGCCGGAGCTGTCCACCTTTGCAATGCTGCCTGGCGGGGCCCCGACGACTGTCGCAGGAGTTGCACCCCTGAAGCCGAGCGATACCGCGGCGGGCGTGAGCTTCCCAAACTCAAAGATCGAGCCGTGGCCAGCTGCCACGTAGACATCAAGTCTCGGAGACCCGCCCGTGTCGTCGGGGCGTGGCACACCAATGACAATGGCGCGGGCATCAGCAAGCACGCTGCTGGGCGCGCCGTCAGTGGCCGCCGCAGCAACAACGGCCAATTCAAAGAACATTGCCGCGCGGGCGGCGGCGCGGCGGCCGCTGCGGAAACAGATTCTGATGGCTCGCTGCCTGACACTGTAGGCGCGTGCGAAGCGAAGAGGGGACGTGCGCCGCAGCTCAGGCTTTTCACAAGTCTTTGTCGAGTTTCATTCGCAGTCCTTGTTATTGACAAGAAAATACGTGCTATCGCGCTTTGCGCTGGTCTATGAGAGGTTGAGGTGCGAGCCCTGGAGGCTTCACATAAACGCACCACATTTCATCACCCCTTTTAGGAGCAAACTCTTTTGCTCGTAGCCAGATGCCGATCATCCGTGCACACGGCCCGCTGGGTGCTCTTCATAGCTCCCCGGTGAGTGAGACTCTCGCTCGCCAGTCGGAAGCGGCGTCGATCTCCATGAGCGTCGCCCGGCGTCGGCCGGCCGGGGACCGCCATCAGCGGGTCGGCACTGACTGAGGCAGACACGAGCGGGCGTGACGCTGGATTACACGTGCGCTTGCCTGCTCCAACGTCTGCGCCGTCGGCCCAAACTTGGCGCGCTGGCGGCCCGCCGCCCCCTCCCCCCTTCCCCCACCCACTAACCACCGCAGGGGCCGGGGCTGGTGAGCCTGGGAGGACTGCGCAGCACTCTCCAAGTCCAACATCCAAGTCTCTGCTCCAAGTCGCAAGTGGAAGTGCATTCACGACGCCAGTTCCCAGATTTCAAGCATGTAGCATCGGGGTCGAGGTCATGGCGGTCGAGGGGTACCCCGGCGTACCGGCAAGGCCATAACACACGAAAATCCTATTTTTCACTGTTGGAAAGGGAACTGTACCCGGACCCGGTCTCCCGTGACGAAAAACGACCAACGCACCGGGCGCCTGCCCGAGAACTTGAGTTCGAATACGTAGGAGGCATCAGAGCAAAATTGAGCCCGCTCAGGTGTGAAAAAAATATAGAAGGGGCAACTCGCCGATTTCGAACAGGAGGCCACTCGACCATCGAGGTGCCACCGGCCGACCTCAGCAGAGAGTAGATGTTCGTGGACTGGTAGCGTCGGACCGGCGGCCCATACTAGCACATTACCGAGGGATCACACACACACCGACGCCCGAAGTGCCAAGAAGGACGTCATCAGTACGAAACCTCAGAAGGCCATGGGCGCCGAGAGAACATTCCCTCGAGAGGACACAAAGGAAGCCGTCGCATCGATCTTGCCTGAGCCTCTCCTCCGACGATGCGCTTTTCCTAAATCGATCTTGCCTGAGCCTCTCCTCCGACGACCAAATTGCGCGCGTCGGCCGCGGCTCGCAGCAACTGCAGCGACTCTGCGCACAACTGCCCGGATACCTCGAGCCGCGTGCGCCGGCTGCGCGCGTCTCCCCTCATGCCGACGCAGCTGGCGGGCAGTGCCGTGAGCAGCGCTGTCCAGGCGCACCACGCAACCTCGGAAGGGTCGACGAGGGTCGAACCTCGCGGTGTGTCTGCGGCGCTGCCGCCTCCGCGCGAATCGGGCGTCCCCGCACGCGCCATGCCGAGGCAGCGGAGCTGGTTGCCGCGTACGACGCGCGCGGCGAAGCCGATGAGTTCCCTCACCGCGCCGATGAGGCCTCCAGCCGGGTGTGCGGCGGCAGAGCGGCCCACGGCGGCGAGCGCGGCGCTGACGGCGTGCAGCAGCCCGTGGTAGACGTTGCGGCGGACGGCGACCGCAGAGTTGAGCGTTGGGTCGACAAAGACAGCGCGCAGCTGCGCCTTTACGGCGGTGCGCATCCGCGCACGCAGCTGCGGCTTGTGCGCCCGCGGGCCCATGCTCACGTGCGCGCGGCGGCGGCTCATGTCGGGGTGCACCTCGCACGTCGCCATGTTGAGCAGGAGGCCGCACCAGCGGAAGTAGCGGCGCGCCCTCCCGTCGGTGGCGCTCGCGCCTTGAGCGGGAGCCCGCAACGCGCGCGGGTCGTTGTGCCCTGCGGCGGCGAGCGAGCCCGCGGCCGCCGTGACGGAGTCGGCGGTGTCGGCGGTCGAGGCGGGCGGCGCCGTGCTCGAGGCCACGCACGTCTTCGCGACGCTGGTCGCGCCTCCGTACCGCGGGAAGCCGCTCCCCATCGCGGAGAGGAAGCCGTCCCGCGTGCGCTCGACCGCCGAGACGCAGAGCGAGTCGTCAATCAGCCGCAGCAGCAACGACCCCTCCCACGTCGCCTCCCCGTGCGCGGCGGCGGCGGGCGCGGCGGCGGGCGCGGCGGCGGGCGCTGGCTGCGGCTGGAGCCTCGGCGTGGACGGCAGGCGGGAGAGGTAGGTCGCGAGGAGCGAGAGGTCAAGGGCTCCGTAGTGGAGGCAGCAGACCAGCGCGCCCGCGACGGCCCCTTGCGGGATCCCGCTCCGCTGGACGTAGGCGCGGCCGTCGACGAGGGCGACGGAAGAGGAGACGAGCTGCCGCAGCGCCGCGCCGACCTGCTCGGCGCTGATGGCGCCGCCAGACTGCCGATCGACGAGCAAGGCTCCGCGCAGCCGACCGGCGAGCGCACCGCCGTATGCTCCTCCGCCGCCGCCATCTCCCACTCCGCCGCCGCCGCCCCCTCCGTCCGCCGCCACGCTGAAGGGTCTGGCGGCGAGGCGCGGCCCGGCCGGCTTGAAGATGAAGAGCTGGTGCCTACACGCACCAGCATCACGCACCTCAAGGGACCTCGCGCAGACGCAGGAAGCGAGGGCGAGACGGAGGAGTTACAGTCGCGAGGGGCCCTCTCCGCGCGAACGCAGTGCCGCGTCGACGGCGGCGAGAGCCTCGCGCTGGTCGATGGTGTCGTAGCAAGCGACCAGGTCGGTCGACCCAAAGTGGAGAGCGCAGCCGGGCGCGCGCAGGCGCCGCTCCGCGGCGAAGGCGCGCCACCTCTCGTGCACGGCATCGAGGGAGAGGAGAGAAGTGCCGAGCAGGCCGGGGGAGAGGCGCGCCTGGGGGGGAAGCGGCACGCGGGGCTCCGGTGACGCCGGGCGCGCAGACGGGCGAGTCGCGCCGCCGGGCGATGGGGGAGCGGGGGGGAGCAGCGGACCGCACGCGAGAGCTCTACGAAGGGGTGGCGCAGCTGCGCGTTGACGGGGGCGAGCAGGAGCCGCGCGACGCGCCCGCCCGCCCGGCGGGCAGTGAGCGAGTGCTTCGAGATGGCGGGGCGGGCCAGGTCGAAGATAGGCCGGAAGGAGGCGCCCGGCTTTGGCAGCAGCCGCAGCCGGCTCGCCCCGATCGCACGGCCGGGCTCGCCGAGCAGCGTCGCCGCACGGTCGCGCGACAGCCCCTCTAGCATGGTCCGCTTCACCCGCCGCAGCGCCAGCCGCTGCAGCCGGATCCACACGCCGCGCGGCCAGTAGAAGCGCGCCCCGCCGCTCGCGGTGTTGCGCGACGCCACGAAGACGCGCCGAGCCAGCGGCAGGAGCAACCGGTGCGCGAGCCAGCGCAGCAGAGAGGCGAGGTCGGCCTGCCGGCGCCGCTCCGCCGCGGCGCCAGCCGTGCCGCCACGGGGAGCGGCGGCGGGGAGGGGCTGCATCCACGCGCACTCGGAGGTGCGCATGCCGCGAAGCAGCAGGTGGGCAGGGTCGCGCCCGCTCGGCGCCTCGACCAGGCTGGCCAGGTTGCGCGACAAGGAGCGCCAGTTGTGCTTTCCTGCCGAGAGGGAGGACCACGGAGGGAGTGAGCCGCGGGGGAGGACAGAGGTGGAGTAGACAGGAGACTCGGGCGGGCGGGCAGGGTGGCGCGAAGGGGCGTGGAGGCGACCGGTGGCGCCCGTGAGGCCCAAGTGGAGGGGAGTCTAGGCGGTGTGTGGGCGACGTGCCTCCCAGGAGAGGTGTCTCGGAGGTGTCTCGGAGGTGTCTCGGAAGTGTCTCGGAAGTGTCTCGGAAGTGTCTCGGAAGTGTTAGCGACGTGCCTCCCAGGAGAGCGTGCGGCACCACTCTCCGGCACACGGCGCGCAGCCAGAGGCCAACCTTCTCCGGCCGCACGCCTACAGGGCAGCCTCCGGCCAGCCCTCGGGCGGGGCTCCTCAGCCAGATGCCTCTCCTCGCCGGACGGGTGCCCAGCTGCAGCAGCCGGCCGTACTGACCCTTCGCCCTCCACTCCCCGCCACACTCGCCCGCCGCCCGCCTCGGGGCGGCGCGGACTTCCTCGCGATTCTCCTCGTGCCCCTCCTCCCAAGCCTCGCAGTCAACGCCGCCGCCACCGCCGCCGCCACCGCTACCGCCGCCGCCGCCGCCGCCGCCGCCGCCGCCGTCACCGCCGCCGCCGTCACCGCCGCCGCCGTCACCGCCGCCGCCGTCACCGCCGCCGCCGTCACCGCCGCCGCCGTCACCGCCGCCGCCGTGCAAGCCACTCGCGGCCGGAGCTGTTGCGTCCGGAGGGGCGGCCAGGTCGACGCCGCTGGGGAAGTGAGCGCGGAGGAGGCCGTGGTAGCTGCAGCGGCGGTGGCGGCGGAGGAGCTGTGCGAGGAGCACCGCCGCAGCAGCCTCGCGCAAGTGAGAGCCCTCACCCGCCGGAGGGCGGCAGGGCGCTCCTCGCGGGCCTGGCTTAGCGCCCTCGAGCAGAATCTCGGCGATGAGCGCCGCCACCGGAGGGCTGATCCCGGCTCCAGCCCTCTCCGCCGCAGGCGCAGGCGCAGGCGCAGGCGCAGGCGCAGGCGCAGGCGCAGGCGCAGGCGCAGGCGCAGGCGCAGGCGCGGGGGCAGCAAACGCTCCGCCAAACGCAGACGCTGCCGAGGCGTCGCCGGCGTCGCGAGGGCCGGGTTCGACGGTGTCGTCGGCTGCGTCGGCGAGGGCGGCTGCAGCGGTGGGCGGGGCGGCTTTCACGCAAGAGGGTGCGGCAGCGGCGGCGTCTTCAGACACACGCGCGAGCTTTGCTCGCCGCCGCCGCCAGCAGCTCAGGCGGGGCCGCTTATTGCGGGACAAGGCGACAGCTTGCCTGACCGCGGCGGGCGCGGCAGGCGCGGGCGCGGCAGGCGCGGGCGCGGTGGCCGGAAGGACGAGCGCATTGGGCGTGGCGCGGTGCGGTGACGTGGCGCGGTGCGGTGGTACGGGTTGCGGCGGGCGCCTCGCTGGCTCCGCCTCCGCACGCTTGCCATCGTCGGCGGAGCTTCTCCCAAAGCCCACGGGCGGGAGAGGCCCGGTCAGCTGCAGGTAGGAGCCGTTTGGCAGGGGTGAGAGCAGCGAGCCCGTGGTGAGAAGGTTGACCATCGCGGCAGATCCGATGCGCGAGCGGAGCAGCTCCCACCCGGGCGTGTTGAGCAGGTTGACTGTGGTGGACGCGTAGTTGGGGCAGTGCCCACCGCGGTCCTCGGCGACACGCTGCCCGAGGGCAAGCACGCTCTGCTCTGCGCCGCACCGCCGCTGCCGCTCGACGGCGAGGGCGACGGCGCGCCGCACGACGATGTGCTGGGCCTCGCCGTCGAGCGCGGCGTCGGGCGGTAGTGGCTCAGAGCCGGCCGGTGCGTGGATGAGCGTCTCGCGGACGAGGCGGCGCAGCGGCGCTGGGTCATGTGGCAGCATGAGACCACTTCAGATCGCCACCCGCATGCCACCGGGAGGCCCCAGAGCGGGCACAATCATATTTTTCATTTTCTTTTCACCAGGGTGCGAATTCTTCTTGCACCTTTGCTGTGGCGCCGACTCTTGCTTGCCGCCGCTCCTTCTATCAGAACGGGAACGCTCCCGACGCTATGGGTCTTGTCTTCAGCTCCTTGTGGAACCGCCTCTTTGGCGCCTCGGAGCACAAGATCGTGATGGTCGGCCTCGACAACGCTGGGAAAACGACGTTGCTGTACAGGTGAGCGCGAGCGCGGACGGCATTCCCGCAGCGCACGTCCCGACCCCCCTCCCCAACCGCGGCGGCAGGCTTGCGCTGGGCGAGGTGATCGAGAGCAGTCCGACGGTGGGCTCGAACGTCGAGGAGGTGGCGCACAGAAACGTGCGCTTCCAGGTGTGGGACCTCGGAGGGCAGGATAAGCTGCGCAAGGTGTGGGCGACGTACTACGTGGGCGCGACGGCGGTCGTGCTCGTCGTCGACTCGATGGATCGCACGCGGTTGCCCACGCTCAAACAGGAGCTCGACGCGCTGGTGGGGAGCGAGGCGCTTGCGGGTGCGGTGCTGCTGGTCTTTGCAAACAAGCAGGACCTGGCGGGGGCGATGACGGCGGTCGAGATAACCGAGTCGCTGCAGCTGCACGGGATCAAGGACCACGGCTGGCAGATACAGGCCTGCTCGGCCACCACGGGCGAGGGGCTCTACGAGGGGCTCGACTGGCTGACACATGCGCTCAAGAACCCGGCGAGAACATGAGCAGGGCGGGCTGCACTCGGCCCTGGCGACACCTCTGGCGCAGGTCGCAGAGGTGAGACGGCGCGATGGACGTGAGATGTGTCCACGGAGAGGCTCGACGTTGGTATCCCTATCCCTGTCCTGACTCCTGAGCGGTCCTGTGCGCTCGCCGTGGGCCTATTTCTCGGTGTGGCCCCGGGCGCCCTCGCGCCTCGGGCCCCGCCTCCGTCCGTCCGAGGAGATTGGGCCCGCACTCCGCACCTCTCGTGCAGCTAAGCTTAAATATAAAGCGCAGACAGAACAGACACCTCCACTCCCTCTCTCTCGGCCAGTTTATTACTAATATAATATTACGCACGGTGTAGCCCGTCCGGGCTCCGGGGGGCGTCCCCGCGCCGTCGCGTGTGGGTGTGGATCTCCACGCGCACACTAGCTCACACATAATGTTTCGAAAGACGTGCGAACCGTACCCTGACGGGCCCCTCGGGGTCGCTGAGTGCGGCAAGCGGAGCCGGCGCAACAGCGGGCGCGCCACGCGACGCCACGCGCGGTTGGACGGAGGAGAACCTCAGTTGAGGACAAACGAATAGACGAAGTAGAGGAGCGTCAGCCCCGGGATGGCGAGGAGAGCGCCGACCTGGTAGGTGGCGACCGCGACCTCCTTGCCCGACGGGGCCTCTGCCTTTGCGGCCTGCCGCGTGGATGCGACGGGCGGCTTGCCTTCGCCGCTGCGCTGCTGCTTCTTCTCCGCCAGCCGATCGAGCAGGTCGGCAAAGGCAAAGACTGCGTCCCGCGGCTCGAGCTTTTTGCCGGTGCTGCCCTTGCGGATCGCCGCGAGGCTCGCCGGCGCCTTTGCGGCGACGTCCAGCACCTCCTTGACGCCCTCGACGGGCGGTGCCACGGACGCGACCTCCTCGACAACCACCTTTGCCACGCGGCTGACCGGTCTGACGTACTGCTTCTGAAGCTGCTCCCACGCGCCGGACCGTTCCTTGCGGGCCGTGACAATCGCGCCGCGCAGGTCGTCCCACCCATCGTCGCGGGGCGAGAGGGTGAAGACCGTGTCTGCCGCCTCCTCTGCTGCTGGCGGCTCCGCCGCCTCAGTCGTCTCGGCGCTCGCGATGCGGCCAGCGCGATTGCAGCTCAGAGAAGGGGCGCGAGCGATCGGCGTCAGCGGCGGGGATAGACGACCGGTATGCGTCAGCGCGATGCTCAGCACCGTGTAACCCAGCATCGGCGCTCGTGGAGCGGATGGCTCAGGAATCTTCTCAGGGACCCAAAAAAGAGAAATGAGAGTTCAGAACACACCAGCGCAACACTACAGGGACCCGTCCATCATCGAGGCGGCCGCCTCCTCCGCCTCGCGCTCCATCTCGGTCGACGCAAGGATGCGGTCAGCGATCGGCCTCACGACGTCAGGCGAGCCGGGCAGCGAGCGGCGGCCCGCCTCGCACGCGCGCGTGAGGGCCGGCTCGATCGGCACGCGGCCGAGGAAGGGGACGCCGAAGCTGGCCGCCATGGCCTCCGCGCCGCCTCGGGCGGCGGGGAAGACGTCCACGTGCGCCGACAGCTCGAGCAGCTCGGGGCACCGCTCGGCGAGCAGGGCGAGCGCCGGGCCGGTCGCGTCGGCGCCGTCGGCGTCGCGCAGCGTGAGCGAGCGCAGCGGGACGGCCAGGCCGCTCATGTTCTCGACCACGCCGAGGACGCGGAGCTGCGTCTTTGCGCAGAAGGAGAGCTCCTTGCGCACGTCGAGCAGCGCCACCTCCTGCGGCGTCGACACGACGATCGCGCCGTCGTGCGGGCCGAGAGTGGCGCCGAGCAGCTGGACGAGCGAGATGTGCTCGTCCGAGGTGCCGGGCGGCGTGTCCACCAGCAGGTAGTCGAGCTCGCCCCAGTCCACGTCCGTGAGGAACTGCCGGATCAGCCCGTTCTTCCGCGGGCCGCGCCAGATGAGCGCCGCGTCGTCCGACGGAGTCATGAAGCCGACCGACATGACGCCCAGCTCGACGTCGGCGGCCGCTGCGTCGTCCGGGTGGTTGACGTACACGGGCGACCAGCCGGACGCGGCTCGGTGCACCGACTGGCCGCGCAGCCCGAGCATCTGCGGCAGCGACGGGCCGCAGATGTCCACGTCGAGCAGCCCGACGCGGAGGCCGCGCGCGGCGAGCGCGAAGCCGAGCTGCGCGGTCATGGTCGACTTGCCCACGCCGCCCTTCCCCGAGAGCACCAGCAGCTTGCGCTTGACGCCCGCGAGCCGCTGCGCAATCACCTCGAGGTCCGGGTCGACGGCGCGGCCGGCGCCCGCGGCGCAGGCCTGCTGGTTGGGGCAACCCTCGCAGCTGCTCGCCTTGCCCGCACCCTCAGAGCTGGGGCCGACGCACGATTCGTTGGCGGCCGACTCGTCCACGGCCATGCGGCAAGGCAGCCACTCTATTTCGCGTCGTTGACATGAAAAAAAGGGCATTTTTTCGGTAAAATTACACAAGACAGAAAAAGAGAGAAAAAACGCGCGCGCAGCGCGCGTAGGCGGCGCGCAGCGCCGCCGCAGGCGGCGGACAGCAGGTGCGCAAAATTAAACGCCATTTTCGGTTCCGCGGTTTTGCCACTAACATCAAATGTCGGGATGATTGATTGATTCGACTACATGCCCGCCTTTGCGCAGGCCAGCGCCGCGCTGTGATACGCATAGGGACGACCCGACCTCTCTGAACTAAGCCAGATTACTGCGAACGAACGCGTAGCACGAACGCGTAGCGCGCGGCGGGGAAGTCAACGGGGCAGCCGGCCGGGCGCCCGGCCGGCCGCGCCCGAGGCGCGAGGGCGTAGACGGGTCACAAATTGCCCGGGACGGCTGGTCACTTGGTCTCTGACGTAGGCCACGCACATGCACATTAAGCGGTGACATGACCTGATTGTTAAGAGCCGGTCCGCGAAATTAAATGCCATTCTCCAGGTATCCATTTTAGCACTATCTTCGAAATCCCGGCCGGTACTGTTTTAAGAATGAGTGAAAGAGGTTGTTGGTATTGTCTCTGAAAGAAATGGGCTCGGCTGCGCCTGGGTTCGGAGCTTCAACGCCGGCCATTGCGCCGAATAAAACGGCGGCAAGTGCCGGACAGTGCACAGGGGCTTCGGCGAGAGCGTCGATGCCTTGAGTTGCCCGCTATGGCCGGGGGCTGCACCGCCGTGTGCATCAAGAAGAACTTGCACATGTGGAAACTGTGTATATGCCGAAAGGTGACGGCGGCGAGGGCGACACGGACGGAGCAGGCGACAAAGGCGAATCCGACGGCGGAGGCGGCGACGGCGACACGGACGGAGGCGGCGAAAGCGAGACCGATGGCGGCGACGGCGACGGCAAGCGAGCTTGCTGCGGGGAGGGCGAGACGGAGGAAGGCAGCGGCGACGGCGACACGGACGGAGGCGGCGACGGCGACACGGACGGAGGCGGCGACGGCGACACGGACGGAGGCGGCGACGGCGACACGGACGGCGGAGCGGCGACAGCGACACGGAAGAAGGCGACGGCGAGACCGACGGCGGCAGCGGCGAGGGCGGCGGCGACGGCGGAGGAGAGAGCGGCGGAGAGGGCGGTGGAGAAGGCCGCGGGGAGGGTGGCGGAGAGGGCGGTGGAGGCGAGGGCGGCGGCGACGGCGGAGGAGAGCGCGGAGGCGACAGTGGCGGAGAGGGCGGCGAGGAGGGTGGCGAACTCGCATTAATTCACCTGCGGGAACCGGAACGGCGGGGAGGGGGGGGACCGAATCGTACCGCGGGCCGCCGGGCAGCGGCCATACCCGCTCGGGGGAGGCAGGGCTCAGAATCGGTTTCAGGCCACAAGGCCGGTGAGTTGGGCGTGACCGTCATCTAGAACGCGCCCGCTCGCTCGCGAAGTCGGTCTGCGGAAGGTAACGACGATTCGGCTAGCTGGGCGTCTGCGGAGGCAACGGGCGGGCTGGCGATCCGCAACGAGGCCTGTTTGTCGCAGTCGGACAGGCACCCGTCGCATCTGTGGACAGGTGTGACGACGGCAGTGACGAGATTGCGGCGCAGCCGCGCACGGGGTCCCGCCGTCAGCGGCCACACAGGCAAGAGCGGCACATCATGAGTCGGGGGGGTGTCGGGGCACGACGAGGGTTGCTTCGGCTGGCGCTCGGAGGCCACCAGGCGGCCCCATTTGCGTCCGGCAGGTGCCTGCCGCACGCCTGCCGCACGCTCTAACGTGCAGAGCACCGAATAGACGCCTTGCCCTAAAATAAAGAAAAAATATCGCAGGCACCCTGCCAAAGATGTCTTGCGTTGTGGCCGCGGTGTTGCGAGGCGACGACGCGGCGGTGCGTTCGTGGCTCGAGAGAGGTGGGCGAGCAAACACCACGCGCGAGATTGGCGAATCAATCGGCGTTACCCTGCTTATGGACGCCGCTGGCCAGGGCCACGAACGGGTGGCTGCCTTGCTGCTGCAGCACGGCGCGGAGATCAACAAGCAAGATAGCAGAGGCTTCACCGCGATAATGCACGCCGTCCAGCAACCCTAGCAGCGCAGCGGGCAGGGCGGCTCGCGCAGCGCGCGCGCGCGACCGAGCACGCACGCGAGCGAGCGAGCGAGCGAGCGAGCGAGCGAGCACACACACACACACACACACACACACACACACACACACACACACACACACACACACATGCTGTACACATGCACAGACACACAGCCCCTTCCCCTTCCTCAAGGGCGAGGACACGCGCAGGGGTCGCACTTCTAGCGAGGCCCACAGAGTGGGAGACTCCTATCACCGCCACTGCCACCCACGTGTCAGTCTGCCTGTGGTAGAAGAGACTGCCGGTGAGACGTCGGAGGAAGGTCGCTAGTCGAGAGAGATCGCCAGTGGATAGGGAGTCCACCGTGCTGCGAGCCTGTCGCTGTCCCTTGTCAGGAGCAGGAGAACTAGGAGAGCGCAACCAGTAGGAGGCCCGCGCTTGCCCCCGTGCCGCCGGGTGCAACCTGTCCTATACGAGAGATGGGATTCCTGTCGTGAGGGTGAACCCCCTGTCCAGCCCCCCTCCGTGTCGCGATGCGCTCCCCGCTCCCGTTCCCCTGTGTCCCTGATCGTCCTACAAGATCCTGCTTGTGCAGGTGGGGACCCTGTCCTTCTCCCACCCCTCGTTTGGCGTGTACGTTGTATTTATTTATATAGGTTTCTCACGACAGAGCGATGGGCTCCACGCAAGAACCACAGGTCACTGCATCGTGTATGCCACGCTCGCATCATGCCCATGCCCACTTCTGACACCGTTCCTAGACATGCGACCCAACTCACACCGGACGAGAGGAACCGGACGAGAGCAACCACTCGGACGGACGTACTCACAGCTGCACCTGCTGCTCACACGCAGCTCAGCGCGCCAGTCCATGACCCTGAGCACGTAGCACGTGCCCCTCTCAGTACGATGTGCGCTCACTCCGGAGCGCGGCAGCAGATTGCTCACATACGTGCTCACTTGCCGTAAACGTCGGAGAAGCAGCCGTCAGGAAAGACGCCAAAGGCGCGCGCGTGGGGGCTCAAGGTTCGCTCGCGAGGCTGCCGGAGCTCATTGGCCTTGGCGCTGTCGAGCCGGTGCGCGCGCTGCTGGGGAGGATGGTTGGATGCCATTTGCCCTGGCTGCGTCGACGCGCGCGGTCCGAGTCGCAAGGGTACGACGGTCGTGCCGTCATCACAATGAGTCCTCGCCCGTAACCCGATGCCAATCGTCCGGCCCGCTGGGTGCCCTTCTTAGCTGGTTCCAGGTTCTTCTCTAAAACAAGAAACGTAAGGCGCACGGGCAGCCCGAGGGCCCAACTTCAGAATGTGCCGTCAGTCGGGTTGTTTCGTGTTGGGTTGGGTTGGTTGGGGGTTGGGTTGTTCCGCGTGAGGTTGGGTCGTCGGCGCGAATGGTGAGGTCTCGACCGCCGCCGCTCACGCCAGCGGACGGCCACCATCGGTGTTTTTGGCTTCACCACCGTCCAAGGCGTGCGCCATGCGCTTGCCGGCATCGAGCGAGCAACGTGATCGACCGAGCGGCTTGCTGTGTGGACGCCTTCTTCTGGCTCTCGTCGAGAGCGTTTTGCGTCCCGGCGGGTGGGAGAATATGTGTCGTCTGATGTGTCACTGTGTGCGTCACATCGGTCTTGATAACAAGCACGGTCGATCCGTCGAAGCGACACACTCGTTCCTATCACGCTGGAAGGCTTGCACGGAGCTCTGTGCCGGCACACAGAAGAGCCGTGCGGCAAGAGAAGAGCTCGATGGGGAGCGAGAACTGCCAGAGGTGCTCACCCAGGTGTCGGAAGTCCGCCTTGATGCGGTCAGTTCCCCCCAGGTTTGACCGCGCAGCTCGCAAGACTCGTCGAGCACTCGCAGCCTTTCTGCGCCTCCCTCTGACTCTGCAAGAGCTATGCGGGAAGAGCAGTTTATCCGCAATATATCGACGAGTTCGAGAGAGCCACAGGCTTTCGGGAGGGATTGAGTGCATCGCGACGGACTTCAGGTTACACCTGAAAATCTGACGTTTCTTCTCTTACTGGCAAGAATGTGCTTTCTTTGTTTAGCAGCACCGCTGCGGCACCCTCTCGGCCGAGGTTGCGCTCTCGAAGTGTTCGTCGCGTGCCCTCTCAAGTTTTCCATCTATCGCTCCCCAGATCCATGCCGCGCTCCTTCTCCTGCTGGAACGACAAGCGCCGCCCTGGCGCCAAGCTCTTCAACGACTTTTCCGGCATCGGGGCCGGCGCGCCGGGCGCAGGCTCCTCCTCGCTCGACCCGGCCGCCTCCAACCCCGACGAGGGAGGGTGGTCGTGGTCTCGGTCGGAGCAGGGCCTCATCACGGAGGGCCTCGACGTCGATGAGCTCGTCGCCTCGCTCACCGATGACCGCGAGGTCATGGAGCAGTTTGGCGTCGCACAGCCGCCCCTCTCTCCGCCCGCCGCACCGTCAGCACCCCTGGGCTCGCCGCCCGCGCTGATGCCACCGCTGGTCGCGGACGGGATCACGGCGTGGCAGCCCAACGGCGGCGGCGCGCCGCCGGCCGCCGGGGCGATCGTTGCGATGGACACTTCGATGGACGTGGAGGCGGCCGTGGCGGAGGGGGCACCGGAGGGGGCGGAGCAGCCGCTGGTCGCCGCGACGCTGATCGTCGCGCCGGAGGCCGATCCGAGCGGGAGCGGCGGCGCCGCGGGCGCCGACGGCGAGGCGATGGCGGCCGACCCGCCGCAGCCGTCGTTTGAGTGGACTGCGTGCAACTGCCCGATCCGGACAGACCCGAGCGGGGCTCCGCTGGCGGCGCCGGTGTCGGCGAGCGGCGCGGCGGGGTACGGCATCACGGTCGCGCTGCAGACGCCGCTCCTGTACTGGAACGAGCGCGCCCGCTGGATGTGGCACAAGAAGTGGTGCCTGCCGCGCATCTCTGTGGTCGTCTCGGAGCCGCTCGGCGCGGGAGGCTCGCTCGGCGGGCCGCCCCTCGTGGCGATGGTCTCGTGCGGGACGCTGCGCGCCGGCCACGAGGCGCTCCCCCCCCCCCCCCCCGGA